TTAATGACCGGAAATATTTTATGTATTTTATTTTTGTATGTATATTTCCTTTATATGTATTTGATGTTCCAATGTCCTATAGGGTACACCTATAGGTGGATATTTTATTTATTATGTGCTAATGAGCGCTCGTTTTAGAGATCACTGCACTTTGTACATATGCATATGTATTACGCTTTGATTTTTGCACAATCCTGCTTGTTTTGTTGATCAAAAAGCAAGAGGTATTGCGGGAATATGCCAATATGGACTTTGAATATATTTCATACGCAATCCTTCTTGGTTTTGTTAGTCAAAATCCAAGGGGTATCGCGGAATATATGCCAATGTGGACTTTGAAGCAGTGAGCGTATTTACATATGTGACATTACACTTATGTACAAATATTTTAGTATGTTATAAAACGTTATATCTTATCTTTATTACTATATATGATTTGTACCCGATGTCGATCGGGTATATATTTCAGTACATATGTTATATATTTGTATGCGCTCTATATATGTATGTATGTATGCTTGTTCGCGGTACGAAGAAACCTAATCGCTAATTCTCTTGTTAATAAGTACAATATATAATTTGTATAACTGCGCCTCATATACATAAATACATATGTATGTATACATGTTCGCAGTGAGAGACCGCGAAAAGAGAGTAAGATATTTTTATTTTAGATGTATGTATGTATGTATATACTTTTCAATATACAGATCTGAGAATCGATTAAACATACGTATTAACTTGGTTAAAATAATAAATGAGCAAGTTCTGCTCTCTGTATGAAATATAAAAATGCTATATGGGACATATATGTATGTATTTATAATATAAAGTAAGTTATTTTAACATATGCTTTTGATTTGTTGTTTTTTTGCTTATGATTGCCGTAGCTTATTTTAAGCAATCCTGCTTATACTTGATTAAGTGTAAGGGGTATTGCTGGACATTTCTGCAAGTAAATACTTGAATGTTTTATAGCTTTTGGGATAGGTTTTGTGTTATAACATTTACCGGCAATCAATAATCCGCTATATACCGTACCAAACTGCTTTTTAGCGGTTTTTGGTTTTACCGGAAAATAAATCGAAAACCGAAAACAGTAGGGTAACGGGTTTTTTTTCGTTTTCGACCATAATTTTGGTCAGAATCGCAATTTTAATTTTGTAATTCTATATATATGTATATGAAATATGAATATTGAAACTCACTTTGATTTCCGCCAGGTGCTTTTGGGGATAATATTTGTGTGAGTGTATGTGCCTGAATTTGCGTGAGCCTGTGCCTGTGCCTGTTGTTCCTTTCCTCAGTGTTTTTGGTGCTGGCGTTGTTGTTGTGTTTTCTTGTTCCTCTTTTGTCTCGATTTTTTTTTGTTTTCACCGCACTGTGAAATTTATTGTCGTCTCAACTTTTTCAGCTTGCGCAACACAATTTTGTACCCTCACTTTTCCTTTGTTTTTTTTTTGTTTCACTATACATACATACATGTGTCTATGTATGTACATATGTATTATATTGTATCTGTATATAATGTTTAGCGCCGCACTTTTGTTCAATTTTTATACACTTTTTTTAACATATACAATATATTTACATATGTATGTATATTGAATTTGTATATAAGTTATATCTCTGTTTTGCGCACTTGTTATCACAGTATATTTGATGACTGCAAATTCTTTCCACAGGTTGTCCAATTTTGTGTCACCACCGCTTTCCTCTTTTTTTCCACGTTTTCCCTTAACGTTGTTTCACCGTTTTGTTTTTTTTTTTATTTTGTTTCCAAATTTTGTCCACCCACAGGTTTTCTCACTTTTTTTTCGCTTTACACTACCGCTTTTGCTTTATCGGGACTCCGTTTTTTGTTTGGTCACCAACTGTCAGTTGCTGTTTTGTTCTACCGGGACTTTTTTTTTTTTTTAATTTAATTAGTTGATTTTATTATCGCGTCACCGCGTCACCGTGATTAATGTTTAATAATGTTTCCACTGGTGCCGTCCGGAACGGCTCGAAAGACCATGAATATTTATTTATGAAAAACAAAAACTTCTGACACTCACCTTGTGACGAATTCGAAAAATAGAATTAAGATTGAAGATGTTGACTACGTGTATCCACATGGACCGAAAAAAAGAAAAGAGAGGTCGGCGCCGTCCGTCAGTCCCTTTTTGTCCATTGTGTCCGGTGTTCTCGTGTGTGTTGTAGATGATGCCGGTGTGTTGAGTGTGACGTGTGGATGATGAATATGGTGTAGATGTGTGGATGATATGGATAGTGTAGTCGTGTTGAGTATGGTGTGTATATCTGGGGTGTAGGAGTATTATATTAAGCACCCCTATGGTCGCCTGGAGCAGTGGCACGACGACGGGATGCCTCTTGATGTCTCCCATCGAACACCTACATAGCGAGACGCTTATGCTCCCAGTTAAGGAGCATAATGAACTCCTCTCCAAGCAGTTCCTGCTGGGATGTTTTCGTAGAAATCATCCTTGAAGTCATCTGCTTGGAGAGCGGAACTGCCTCCTAGGAGCATCAAGAGGTCATTCCTTGATCACGTCGACGACATCAAACAATACGCCGGCAGGACCTCGGACGCTATAGACTTCCGACAGGCACTGACCGCCATTCACAGTGGAGCCATCAACACCTTCACCGACGCCCTCCCCGTGAATGGCGTCCTTGGAGCAGACGAAGAGCTCGAGTTGCCGCGAGAAATGCGAGTGACCCTTGCGCAACTTCGTTCTGGATATTGTAGCAGGTTAAACTCCTACCTATCCAGAATAGACCCTGACATACCCAACGTATGTCCTGCATGCAACGAGTCTCCGCATGACACTGACCACCTCTTTGCATGCCCAACCAACCCCACCCATCTAACACCCTTTTCCCTTTGGTCCGACCCCGTCGAAACAGCACGTTTCCTGGGCCTCCCGTTAGATGACATCGACGACAACACCGATAACCCTCACCATCCCAACGGGGACTGATAACCCTTAAAACAACAACAACAACCGTATTATATTAAGAGGGGGGTGCTCATGTAGCCACCAATCAACAATTAAAATAAAAGAATAACAAAAAATTTATATTTTCTCAATGTGGAATATGGGTGAAAACATTTAGTGTAAACATTTAGAAGAAATAGTGACGTCTATCTTGCTATTTATATTATGAAATACATTAAAAACAAAGAAAAAACTTAACTTATCGAATAAAAATATTCATCAAAATATAAATATTTTATTTCAATTGAACAATTGTTATGAAAACTTTAGGCAACATACTTCGATAAACATAAATACTTTCTTCCACGTTTACAAAATCGGTAAAAATTTCATCTTTTATGAAGAATGACAATTAATTTTTTAAGCTTCTTTTTAATGAAGCGATTATTTTAGATATCACGTTTTTGCTTTCGAATTTATTGTCAATTGTTTTTTTGCATTATTTATAAAACTATATTGATAAATGTATAACAAAATGAGATTTTTGCTTAAGTATAGCTGTTCTAATGTTAATCACCTAATAAAATAATATTTTCACATACTTCCAGGGTATTAATATCACGATAGCATGAATTAATAGGATATTTTATGTACGCGGAGGTTCTCTTAAATTCAAGTGTTAATAGGTTGACAAACTTTTATCTAGCTCTTGAGCTAAGAAAATGCTGACTTTCTTCTGCTTAAAATATACTTTTGTGGGCACGTATATCTAGCAGCACTGTTTGTCAGTTATTCTATTATTTCATTCTCTTTATAATCTTCTTGGATATTTACAGTTTTAACTGAATTCTATAGAAGTTCTTTGAGTTCTCTTAATAAATAATCGTTTAAATATTAAATGCGGTGTTTTATTATCGCCACACTTTAAAAACTATTTTGCACATTCAAACTTTTAAAATATTTGTGTTTACATTTATAACAAATAGCAGTTGTCCTGAAAACATAATCAAAAATCTGTTTCATATTTAGAAATATAAATAATTCATTGAAGTATTAGGGGTATTCGCTTGATATTGCAAAACCCTTGCACGGTGCAATAATTGCATATATTTCCTCTTGGTGCACCCGCACAACAACAAACACACGAAAATTATTGGAAGACCCCATGTAAATTTGCGTGCAAAGTCACGCAAAAATATAGCTGCAACCTTGTTTTAGCTGTCATTTTACATAAAGACATATTACGTTGTTAAATTGTTAAGGAAGGTAAGTTTTAAATAGATTTTATAATTTCTACTTAAATTATAAAGATTTGTTAGAGTTTTTTTTTTTGTTACAAAATGTATGCAGAAGATGCGCCAATTCACAATAGCCATGCATAATAGTTATTCACAATAAATTGATCGAATCAGCCGGTCATATACCACTAGATTCTGCAATGGGTGCTCTCGTGCCCTTGTATATTTCGGTATAGTATTTTTGCAATCTGCAATCTTGCAAGAGGAAGCGAATATCCCTATTGTTTCATATATTTATTTGTATTATATACCATAATATATAGAAAAAACTTATTATAGAATGCAAAGTTTTTCAGTATTTCTCAACCTTTGATTAAATTAGGTGTTCGATCGATGAGGGTTATTTTTTTTTAAGCGCGACCGAAGGCCGCCAGTGTAGTTTGACACAAAAGAACTATGAAGACCCCGGGCCGCCCTTGGTTATTTATTTATCTTCATTTATCAAATAACATAAGATACAAATACTATTTTCTCTATATATGTATGTATGTTAAACAGAAAAATTTTTGATAGTTTTTTCAAAACACAATATGTGACAAAAGTGGTACTTGTCATGACATGAAAATAAAAATAAAATGAGAGTGAAGTGCATATAAAATTGTGGAACTTTAAATACAAATATCTCGTAAAATATAAGTCTGAGAGGGGTATATGTGTATACATTTTTTAATCCAGAGATCATCGTCTTTCAGATTATACCCTTAAATCCCGGCGCCAAAAGAATCGCAATCGTGCCGCTACGTGTATGTAGGTTCAGTACTACTGTATAGTCAAGTTTGTGCAAACCATAGAGAAATATTTCTAATAATCGTTTATCGGAAAAATATCGGAGTTTAATAAAAGTGACTTGCTGTAAACGAAATCAAAATAAATATATCAACCCACATGAAATAAAGAATCTAATATGTGTCGAAAGAATATAATCTTATAATACAGACAATGACGAACGTTTCTACTAAATGAATTTTTAAAAAATTAATCTGAGCCTAGCCTGGGTTATTGCACTAATTCTGTAAATTCTTAGAAAACCGCTTGTAATATGCACGAATATATTGTGGAGTCAACTGGATGTCAACCTCAATTGTACGTTTTCAATCAGATTTTTAAAGCGTATGAAAGCTTGGATTATGTCCGGCGTTATATTACAGATAGCTACGAATCTAAGCAACAAAAAACTTTTTTGGATTTCTGGTATTCAAATGGTGATAGCATTGTATATAATAAATATTATGATAAGGAATGTGAAAAAGAATTGGTATGATATGACTTGAGTTTCAAAAATGTATACACGTTTAATAAAAATTTCGTTTAGGCGGAGCGCACATTAAATTATGACTACGAAAATGTAATTGCTGAGTCTGAAGAAAAAAGAAAACAAATTTGGGAGGAACACTATGAAAAGATATATATAGAACAATATCAGTTATACGCAATAATATTTTATGAATATTACAAACATTTGCATAAATCTTTAGATGAAGAAAGGATTGAGTTCATAGCTGATAAACTTGAGGAACATATTAATAGTTGTTTTGCGGAAGATTTTGCACAATTGGAACTGCTGGGACTTCCGACTGCATTTGGTAAATCAAAAAGTAACAGAAAAACACAACTACAAAGGTACGATAACTTGCAACAAGTGTATAGCGGTTTTTTCTCTGATGAGGAGGATTCTTCAAGTATGGACTCACAACATTTTCAGAAGAATACAGTAAAAGATCTTGATAAAGAAGTTAAGGAAACGTCGACATTATGTGATATTAAAGAGAAAAAAATTAAAAAGAAGAGGGCAAACCGAAAGCTACGAAATGTACCGGAATTTCTATTGGAAAATAAGGAAATGATGAAATATTGGCGAAAACGTTTTTCCCTATTTTCACGATATGATGATGGCATACGGTTAGATTGTGAAAGTTGGTTTTCAGTTACACCTGAAAAAATTGCTGCTCATTTGGCTGAACGCCTATCATGCGATGTAATTTTAGATGCCTTTTGTGGCTGTGGTGGAAATGCTATACAATTCGCTCGCACTTGTAAGCGTGTTATAGCGATAGATATAGACCCTGTGAAAATATCTATGGCAAAGCACAATGCCAAAATTTATGGAGTAGCAGATAAAATTGACTTCATTATTGGAGACGTCATGCACATTGATCGTACCTGCAATTTTCGTTGCGACATTGTTTTCTTAAGTCCGCCTTGGGGAGGTCCAAAGTATAAACGAAAGGAATCCTATGATATTGAAAGTTATTTACAACCTTCGGGTGCATCAAAGCTAATGGAAATCGCCAAGCAATTTAGTGAAAACGTAGTATTCTATTTACCACGAAACGCTTGCATTAAGCAAGTCGTTGAATTGGCTGGATTTGGGAACAGATGTGAAGTAGAACACAATTATTTAGATTCGAGACTTGTGGCTATATCTGTACTATATGGCGAAAATATATTAAAAGTAAACTAAGAATAATGTACAAGTAATATTGTAAATTTTTTATTCTTTAGAATAACTTTGGAAAAATAACACTTTCTAAATACATACATATGTATATTGGACATAGCCCCCGTTAAAAATTCTTATTAATTCTTCGTTTGACATCAAGGCACAAAGTGTTCTTGGCGTTTACAATATTTTCGAAACGAAATCGTATACAATTTTGTTATTGTAGTGTTACCATTGCGTTTCTTTACTTTTATCTGAGGGTTCGAAGTGGATTTCTGCATGAACTATATTTTCAAAAACGTTTTCTTTATAAGTTGCCAGAATTGAAAAGTTAAACTTAATTTAAACACACAGAACAGATATCAAATTTAAATATACTTTTAAAATATT